CAGCTCGGGCTGGACTCGAACCGCTGTTGCTCAGAGCTCAAACTCTTGAGCGAGCTCTTAACCAACTGAGCCACTCGGCCGGCCCTTAAAGTAACTTTTAAATTGTGCAATTCAGTGGTTTTCTAGGATGTGTATGTTGGTACACTTGATGGTGTCCCACAGGTCCCCCTTGGGCTATGTTCGTTTTTCTTCATTCTTTTTCCTTCCTGCTCAGACTGGATAACCCTGATTGCCGGATATTCTGCCGCCTGCTCAGATCTGCAGTTGAACCCATCTATTTCCTTTTCAGTTATTGTACTCGGCTCTAGAATTTCTGTGCGGTTCCTTTTTATAATTTCTAGTGCTTCGTTGATATTCATTCATTCTTTTCCTGATTTCCTTTTATTCTTTGTCCATGGTTTCCTTGAGCTTGATAAGAGTTTATTTAATGTTTTTGACCAGTGATTCCAATATCTGAGCCTTCTCAAGGATGGTTTCTGTCAAGAAAACCTGTGTTTCTTTTTTTCCCTATGAAAGGGTCATACTTTCCTGTTTCTTTGTCTGCTTTGTCATTTTTTGTTGAGAATTGGATACTCTGAGTATGATAATATGGTAAATCTGAAAATCAGATTCTCCCATTCCTGAGGGATTGCTGATCTGTGCTTATTGAGGGCTGGAGCTGTCTGTTTGTGCCTTTTTCAAGCATTTTTTCCAAAGCATGTACTCCTTGTTGTGTGTGGTCACTGAGGTTTGCATTCTGTTATCTCTATGATTGGCCGGTGACCTGACAAATATTTCCGCAAATGTCTGGCTCCCAAAAAGGAAAAATAAAAAGGTGTCCCTATCCCTTTAAATCTCCTGATAGATGCAGTGCGGGGAAGAGAGGGTGGAAACGGAGGGAAGTGTCTGCCCTGGCCCCACAGGGATCCACCAGACCAACCAAAGAGAACAACCCCAAAATGGGGCACAACTATGTATGGTGTCAGGGGGATCATTACGTAAGGTACATAAATGTCTGATCACTGTTGTACACCTGAAACTAACATAATGTCAAACTGTCACTGAAAAATATGTTTTAAAACACTACATGCAGTCACAAGGTCCCTACCGTCTGCCCCACCAGCTGCTCCCAGAATGTGGGCCGGTATCCCCACAGCTGCAGTGGGGCTGAGTAGCGGGGGTGGCAGCTGGTTGGTGCACGCCCTTCCCTCACTGAAGATCAGTGCCGCTTACTCATGAGCACATCCCTGGTTGTTAGAACCCCTTGTACGTGCTGAACCGCTGCCCTTGCTTCTCCCCAGATTCTTTCTCTTTGACTTCTGACACCGAATGATTTGTCTAGGTGTGGGTCACTTGGACACTGTATTCTACTTGGAGTTATTGAGCTTCTTGGTTGTCATGTCTTTCGTCAAACTTGGGAGGTTTTCAGCCAGTCTATCTTCAGATATTCTTTCTGCCTCTTTCCGGGACTCCCAGTGTCTGGATGTTGTTATGCTTGATGGCGTCCTGTAGGTGTCCATGACAATTTTCCTTTATTCTTTTTTCTTCCTGTCCCTCATGCTGAATATTAACCTGTCTTCGAATTTGGAGATTCTTTATTCTGCCACCTCAAATCTGCTGCTGAGCCCCTCTAATGAATTTTTCATTTTAGATATTATATATTATAGGTATATTTTAGTAGATGCTTCTATTTTAGATATTTTATTTTTCAACTGTAGAGTTTCTATTTTGTTTTTTTTTATGATTTCTGTCTTGATATTCTCTATTTGGCAGGTCATCAGTGTCATACTTTCTTTCAGTTCTTTAGATACGGTTTTCTTTAGTTTTTTCAACATACTTCAAATAGCTAATGTGGTCTGGACCTCCTTGGGGATGGTTTCTATTGACTGTTTTTTTTGTCTTGTGTATGGGCCATACTTCCTTGTTTCTTTGCGTTGCTCATTTTTTTTGTTGACAACTAGACAGTTTAAAGAATATAATGAGGCAACTCTGACAATCAGAGACCCAACTCCTCCTGCCAGGGTTTGTTGTTACTGCTTCGTTTGTTTTGTGACTTTCTGAAACTAATTCTTTACACTGCATCCTGTCATGTGTAGCCCCTGACACCTCTGCTTGGTGAGCTCAAGGGTCAGCTAACAGTAGGGCACAGGTTTCCATAAATTAAACGCCAGGAACCATTAAGTTGCCCAGCCTTTGCGTCGGGCCCTGTGTGTGTGTTGGCTCATGCCTTCAGTACTCAGCCGGGCAGTTGACAGCTCTACTTCTTGCTTTCCCAGAGGCTCGAGGTCAGCAAACGGGGACAGTGTAGAGACCCTTCTTGGTCTCTACACACATACACACAACCCTGCAGCACCTGGACTCCTGGGTTCCCAGAAATGTTCAGAGGTCTGCAGAATTCCCTGTGGGCATCTCAGCCCCCAGTTTTCCCATTTAAACTGTTAGCCAGCTTGCTCTCCGCCCCACGTTTTCTCACCACCTCAGGCAGCTCGTGTGTTTACAGTTGCTGATTTTTTCAGTAAACGCTCCCTGGGAAGAGGTGCTTTGCCCCGGTTGATTTCTGAGTCAGGTCAAATAGAGACAAGCCTTGTGAGTGGCATTTTCCCGGGAACTGCCAGACAGGCCAAATAATGCCAGTTATCTGGGAGTGGGGCACTGGGGGTCTTTCAATGCCATTCTGCCCCACCCGGAGGCTCCGGGCTGTTGGTTTTCACCATGACTGCAGGCTATTGGTTCTCATGGCTACCATGGGGCAGTTGAGTTTGAGCATGTTTGCTGGTGTTCTCATTCCTTTTATGGGGGAGAGCTTAGAGGGTCCTTATTCCATATTCCTACCAACATCACTCCTCTTCCCAGTCATTTTAACTCCGTTCAGACCAGTCCTTCCTTCCGTGAGTAGCTTGGTACCTACTCTACTGAGAAAATTTATGCCAGCTAGATATATCGGAATATTAAATATCTTAACATTCACATGACACATCACATCAGCATTTTCACATACTTTATTTAATCATAAATACAGGAACTGTCAACTAAGTGGATAGATGTGTTAGCCCCAATAAACTTTCCATTTTTCCGGACTGCTTATTAGATGAGAATTTCATAATATTTTACGTTTGCTTATTTAGTATTTTATCTCCAATAGTGCTGGTAAACTCCTACATCGTGTTAAATTGAGTCCTGTGATTAGACCTTGGTGCAAAGATCCTAAGACCCCCTCCAGCTAAGTAATAAGTCACACATAAGGTCACATTGCTCCCTTGGCCTTGCTGCTGCTTTTGGATAAGGTGAAGTGAACTTGATGCCGCTTACATTTTAGGTTATTATCACAAATTGCTGACTAAGAGTGTGGCCGAGACTCCAGTACACAAGCAAATTTCCCGAAGGCTGCTTCACAGACAGATCAAGGGCAGGTGAGTGATGTCTTGGTCTGGCTTCTTCATATACCAGACCGCTCCCTAATGACCTTGGGGGCCACTGTGTACCTTCTCATGACCTTTGTGATTCAAATCGTGACCGTGTTGCTTGTAACCAAAGAACATTCTACAAACTCTGAGGGCTGGAGAACCTACAGAAGGCGCTCACCCTGCGTCTGGCCTCTTTGACCTGACGTAACTTTTTTTTTTTTTTTTAAGATTTTACTGGGGAGTTGGGGGAGGGGAACAGCACTGGAGAATCGGGGGGAGGGGAACAGACAAGTTGCTGATCTTTTGGTTGTCAGTCTAGCCTTGGAGGACGTTGCTTCATTGGCCCATGTTGGTATTATCATTGCACTCTTCCTGGGTGAGGCAGATCAGTTGCCGGCCTCTGGACGGCCGCTCACGGTGGCTGGCAGCCGGTGTGACCAGCTGCCAGCCACACACGGTAGCTTATGGCAGCCCACTGCAGCAGAGGCTGCAGCCTACGCCATCGCTGTCGACTCACGGCAGCCCAGCTCCAGGTCGAGCTGTTGTTCACCATCTTAGCTGTAGAGGGCGCAGCATCACTGGCCCTCATGTGGGATCCAAACCAGGGCCCTGCTGCTCAGAGCTGGCGTCCCAAGTCAGCTCTTAACTAACGTGCTACTCGGCCGGCCCCCTGACGTAACTGTTTTAAGAGTTATGCGTGTTATTGCATGCATCAGTAGTTCACCTTTTTTCATTGCTAATATTCTGCTGAATAGATATTCCACTATCTTTAGCTCTGTTCCTGTGCTCACAAGAGGAAGGAGGGAGCTTTTATTATGGCCGGGCAAGGCTGGAAGTCTCGCATCTCAGCTTGCCCTGTGATGACGGGTGTGGGGGGGCCACAGCATCCCATGGCAATTGGTGGGGAAGGGCACTGCTTATCTGAAAGTCTGTCTTGCATGGCTGCCCCTTTCCTGGTTCTTTGGCTGCAGAGAGCTAGCTTTCCTGAGGGCAGTTTTGGTCTGCACCTCTTGGTGTATTCAGGTGGTCAGCGTCTCCAGCACTCAGCCTGGAATTGGTGATGCAGAAAGCTGATTCCAGGAGCTCACTGCCCTGGCTCTCAGGCCCTGAGTCCCCAGCCAGTCTTCCTCTTCCCTCCGCCTTTGAGCTGTCCTTACATTCGCTTCACATAGACTGTCCAGCATTTTCAACTGTGTCCACTCTGTCTTGCCCAGACAGTATTGGTGTGTGGATTTTACACACTTGCGCGAGTTTATCTGCAGGATGAATTGTAATTAGTGGAATTTGTGGGCATGAGAAAGTGTATATATTGTAAATGAAATCTGATGTAAAACTGCTTTCCAAGAAAAAGGTTTTAGAGAGCTCACCAGCACTGGTGTTACCAAACCTGGTGGGCTGTTACCTTATGAGGTGCAAAGCTGTGTGTCTCTTTTAAGGTGTGTTAATTAAGAATAACCCTGGGTGACCGGTTAGCTCAGGTGGTTAGAGTGTGGAGCTCATAACACCAACGTTGCCAGTTCTATCCCCGCACGGGCCACTATGAGCTGCACCCTTCCTAAAAGAGTCAACTCTGCCATTATAACGTGAAAGCAATGTGTAACCAATGACCATGGCTGTTCCCCAATAAAATTTAACAAAAAAGGAATAATCCTGGTGCTTTTTCTTCCTCAAGGTCCTCTGACCCTGGTCCTGACGTTGATACTGTGGAAGAGTCTCCAGAAAAAGGAGGTAGCATCGCCTACATTTGCTTGAGGATTTGGGGGGTTTTTGTGTTTCATCTATTTTCTGTGAAAACCTTTCTGTATTGGTGTTTGTTGTCGCTCAGCGTATCCTAAGATATTTCACAGATGTGGTGACAGTTCTGGCCCTCAGTGCACATCAGTAAACTGTGACTGGTCATGTGCATAGTGTACTGAGAATTTCTGCAGAAGAAATATTTTTACATAACCCCAGAACTCAGAAATACTCTGTTAACATTTTAGCTTTAATAATACTCTTACAGGTGGTGTTTCTAATTTAAATTTTTTTTTTAACTTTTTACAAAAGTCACTGTATTTCACAAACATTTTTGAGCCTACATCTTGCTTAATGGAGGCAGTTTATGAGACTGTCTAGAGGTGACAGTCTAGTGGGTTAGTGGTTTTTTGCCCCTCGTCGGGGCCAATATCATCCCTCTCTTAGCTTTGTCAAAACGGCTCAGAAGCCTCAACCAATAGCTTGTCACATTTCTACCTTTTATGTGATGTCCCATCAATTTCAGCCATTTCACACATAGGAAAATGTGAGGCTTGCATTTCTCCTTGGCGACTGACTGTGATTCTGGTTTTGTAGAAACAGGTTTGAGAAGAAGTCCTCGAATCAAGCAATTGTTGCTGGGCAGGACAAATTCTGGTTCCTTCTATTCCATGTCTCAGCCAAAGTCTCGAAGTGTGCAAAGAGTTCACTCATTCCAGCAGGACAAGTCAGGTAACATACTTGCCTACCTGTTCTCAGAAGTCCACGCAAACTTGGCGGGAAGTGTTTTGGGGAAAGGAAGTATGAAATTGGACATCTTGTTTCTTGATGTTGGAGAATCAGAACAGGGATGTGTATTTGAGATTCAGGGCAATGACCAGATGGACAGTCAATGGCCTTTGTCATCAGTCATCCCTTTGGATTCTTACAGCTGGTCATCCAAGATGAATTTACCTGGCATTACCTGGAATTTACATCCTATGCTCAGGTGTCCCAGGTGATACCTCTTTGTATGCCCTTTATTCTTTTATCCGTCATTAGCTTGGATCATCAGAAATGTGTCTTTATAATTGCAAATTAAATGACTTTTGTTGCCTACCTATCCTAATACAGGGGCAGGGGTTAATTGCGGTCTTAGTAAAATTCAAGAGGGCAGCAATCGTCACAGTCGCTGACATAGTTAGGTGGGATTTTTCCCCCAGTTGCTCTGAAAACTTGTTTTCTTTGCTGTGTGAATCGGCTGCATTATTGTTGGGAGGGCAGAAGTTGAAAAAGAATTAAATGTTGTCACTGTTTTTGACTTGCAGACCAAAGAGAAAATTCTCCCATCCAAAGTATTCAGTCTCCTAAGAGGCTTCTTTTTGGGGCAGTGTCTGAGGTGATGAGTCCCGCGGAGAATGGTTCAGCTCAAAATCAAAGGCCTTCAAGAAACACAGTGGATTCTGAGATACCTACAGCTTATCAGGTAGAAAATGTCTATAATGTGTAACACACTGCAGTGAGCGCATCAGGGAAGAGAAAGAAAAGCTGGTGATCTATAGATAAAAATAGAAACTTGGGGTGGTTGGAGGAGCTATCTGAATGATTAGTGGGTAGATGAGGAATTAAGGCAGCGGTTTGGCTGAGGTCAAGGTGCTGGGTGGGAGACACAAATGATTACCCACGTGACCCATTAGAAACCTGGGAGTCATGCTTAACTTTTCCCGCCCCTCCAGCATAGCCAGTGAATCCATCTGCCCATTTTATTTACAAACTGTATCTTATCCCCATTCCCTCCTCCTTCTCCATCCCTGCAGTTCCTTCCCTAGTTCACTCCTGCCTGGAACATTTCAACTTTTTCTCCTTTAAATCCATCCTGTCCCCAGAGGTCACAGTGATCTTTGGGACCACATCAGATGTTCCTCTGACCACTTCATTGCCTGAAGCTCTGCATACTCTTTATCTGTGAAATCAGGGTTTGCTAAGTTTTCCTAAAATGGAAACTTGCGCTCGAAAATAAACACTAAAAAAAAATAAGCGCTGCAGGCCGAGTGGCTCAGTTGGTTAAGAACTCGCTCAAGAGTGCAAGCTCTGAGTAATAGGGTTGCTGGTTCGATTCCCAGTCTAAGCTGAACTGCCTGCCACTGATGGTGGCAGGATGGCTCAGCTAAAAAAAAAAAAAAAGGCACTGAAAAAAAACCAATACTTTTCCTCCCACCTTCTTTGTTAATCAAATTAACAGAGACTGATTTTAACAGACGAAAATCCAATACACGCAGATGGAGAATTCACATGAGCATGAAAATTATAAACACAGCAAGGCAACATCGAGTATAAATGACATTTTGAACAAAACAGAAGGTGGGGTGCAAGGGGGGCGGTTGTTGGATTTCAGAAATGAGAATGGGTGATTTATAGGATAATTGAGGAAGGGTGTAACGCACATGGCAGGTAACTCAAACAATGAGACGCCTCTCATGACAGGCTTCTGCTGGACACCTTCCCATTTACCACACTAACTCAGACTAGATGAATTTAAGATTTCTTTCCTGGAGGTTTTTCCATCTGAATCTGTTAGGCAGGACATGGGGAAGGTCAAAGGTTCTTTCTGAATCTTCTTTCTTAATATTCACCCTAAAATCAAAATTCTAAAGGGCAAAACTTCAGTCCCGACTTTGAATCTTTCTATTGGGTTGTCGGAAAAGTCATGATACATTTTTGCAACAAAAAAATGTATCATGACTTTTCTGACAACCCAATATATCTCTATTTTACTATATCTTACATATCTTTCACTGTATCTTTTCCTTCCTTCCTCCCTCCCTCCCTTCATATATCTTCAGTTTTTTTCTATGTACATATCTTTATATATCTTGCTTATCTTTCTCGCCATCTACACCATCTTCTATGCTTCCATCTATATCATTTTTATCTTGTTTCTCTTTCCTTCCTTGCTTTCCTTTTGTATATCATCTTTCTATCCTTCTATCTATATCTTTCTATCGGATCGTTTTCTAGTCATTCTGTCGTACTATGTGTAGCGTACTATCGTTCTCTCTACTGTACTATCGAACCCTTATCGCACTATCGCCACTATCGCCGTCTCTATTACACTATGCACTGTCGGCACTGTCGTGGCCCATGCCGTACTACCGTCGCTATCGCACCCTTATCGCACTGTCGCGGTCTATGTCGTGCTATCGTCACTGTCGCGCCCTTATCGTGCTATCGTGGTCCATGTCGCACTATCGTCACTATCGCACCCTTATCGCACTGTCGTGGTCTATGTCGCGCTATCGTCACTATCGCACCCTTATCGCACTATCGTGGTCTATGTCGCGCTATCGTCACTATCGCACCCTTATCGTACTATCGTGGTCTATGTCGCGCTATCGTCACTATCGTAGTCTCTTACACCATGCGCTATTGGCACTGTCGGCACTATTGTGGTTCGTAGTCTCTTGTGGTTTGTAGTCTGTATTACACTATGCACTGTTGGCACTATTGCGGTTTGTGGTCTGTTGCACTATTGTCAGTATCGCACCCTTATCGCACTGTCGTGGCCTATGTCGCACTATCGTGGCCTATGTCGCGCTATCGTCACTATCGCCGGCTCTATTACACTATGACTATCGGCACTATCGCGGTCTATGTCGCACTATCGCACCCTTATCGCACTGTCGTGGCCTATGTCGTGCTATCGTCAGTATCGTACCCTTATCGTACTATCGTGGACTATGTCGCAGTATCGTCACTATCGTAGTCTCGGTTACACTATGCACTATCGGCACTCTCAGCACTATTGTGGTTCGTAGTCTATTACACTATGCACTATTGGCACTGTTGGCACTATTGCGGTTTGCGGTCTGTGCTGCACTATCGTTAGTATCGCACCTTTATTGCACTGTCG